GTTTACCGTAGCAACTAGCTGCAACTAGCAACTAGCAATATGGCGGCGTACCCAGAATGCAACGCGCTGTGCCCGTCCCTTATTTGGTCTTATATTTTGATTTCAAGTGGCATTAAAAAGTCTTGAATTTAACTTGCCTTATGCTGTAGGAACCCTGAGTTAATTTACTAAATTATATTAAAGAGGGAATAAGAATGAAAATTTGTGCTAATATTAGTTGTACTGCCGAATCTGAGACAACGAAAAATTAACCGTTCGTGTTCGTACATGTTAGTGTGCAGGTCTGTGCAAGGTAGAGAAGCTGAAATTATTCAAACTTTGTCGAGAAAAACATTGTAAAGTTAGTTAAAATCTACAGAGATGAAGAGGAAAGACTGCAGCAGCATATCAAGTTTTTTCCTCCCAAAGAGTAAGGCGGGAGAAAAGGCAGAAATAAAAGGAAAAAGCAAGGCTGACGGAGGAGGAGATGAGGTGGAAGGAGAAGAACAGCATAAATCTGACAAGGGGATCATGGATGATGACCAAACCGATGAGGGAAAGGAGGAAGAGGTAGAAGACCACAGAAATGAAGAGATGGAAGAGGGAGATTATCAGCAAGATGAAGGAGGAGGCGAGAGAGGAGACAACAGGCAGATCTCAGACAGTGACAGGAGAGAATCTGAGGCATCAAGCGTCTCCAGGCGAGCTGGTCTGTATGGTATGGAGACTGCACACTAAGTTACATCTTAATAAGAAAAATAAATTATGATAAAATGGACATTTTGCTGTATTTAAATAGTTCTTGCTCAGTTCTCTTTGGAAAAAATATATTTTGATAGTGATCATTTAATGTAAATTACTGAGAAACAAGAAAAAATGAATGAAAGAGTTTCAGTAGTATGTGAAGGCTGCAATGTTTTTAATCTAATGCTTAAGTTAAATTTCAAAATTAAATAAATTGACCTTAACATTTCCCTTAATAGGCTTATAGGACCACTCATTTTGATGATGAAAAAGAACATCCTCCACAATACCTTTAAAGTTTCTTTTAAAGTTTTTTTTCCTAGACATGTTCAAAATAAAATTCTGTTTTTTAAAGTTTGTCTTCATTAATTAAGATTTTTGGGGGGTACAAGGGTGTAAATGTGGATATTGGCCTGATGTTTTTGTGTTGCTATGCATGTGTAAATTTACATGTGTTACAGGTCCCAAGTACGGTACCTTAGTAACAAATCTAAAATATCCTGAAAGACAGATTAAGTATAAGGAGACTCAGGCA